ACACAATCAAAATACAAGAAAAACATGATGATTTTTAGAAGGAAAAGGATGAATAAAAATTGAAATTAAAGTTGGGAATATAGTTGATTAAATCTCTCAGATTTCATTCACGTAGTCTTTCTCTTATTTATTCAACATTTACAGAGCACCTGCTTTTTGTTGGTACTACAGATAATGTAGTGAAATACACAAATTAGTACTGTCTATAAAACCTTAGGATTCAGGGGCTAAATGGAAACAAAGTTAAAAACAATGTATGCCAAGAGGGTAAAAGTGCTATGAAGGGAATTAAAACAGAAAAGGACAGAGAACAAGATGAAAAAGTTAATCAAAGAAAATGTTGGTGAGTCAATATATGAAAAGAAAGCTGAATAAAGAAAATTAATGAGGCATGTCAAATCTAGAGTAAGTGATTTTAGAGCCACAGTCATAACTTTGATATGTTGCTAAACAAAAGGGTCAATGTGGTTAGAACAGAGCAATCTAAAGAAAATGGTAGAAGGAAAGGACAAAGGGAAAGAGAAGCTAATGAAAGGTCTTTGGATATTCTTACTACTGCTATGGATGACACTGGTGCATGTGAACCATGGAGGAGGCATGGATGGTTTACATTTCAAAGGCTCTTGAATGTGCTGAATTGACAGTAGCTGAGAAAGAGCTAAAGTGCAAAGAAAATCCAGAGTTTTTTGCAGTCATTTTGGTGACGATGATGGTGATTAGGGCTACTGTGCTAGCAAGAAGGTTAACAACATAGTGGGAAAAGTAATGAAAACATTTCAAACACAGAAATGAGAAAATATAAAATGTGAGATGTAAAGAAGAGAGAAAGAAAGTAACCTTTATATCTGAGAATTATGCAATAAGTTGAAATTAATGTTGCTATTATTTTCCATTAAGTTTATTGGGATATTTAAAGCAAACGATACAGTTACATTCATCATTGGTATTTTGTACCTGTACATAGCAGGTCTTGGTTCTTGTTTTTTCCCCATACTCCTGCCCTCCCTACACCCCCTTCATCCTTCTCTAGTTACAACCTTTGTTTCCATTTTTTCATTTTCTCACATTCTTTCTTTTTCCTTATTTCCCCTCCCCTTCCCACTTCCCCTTTAGCCATCTTCTTCCTATTTCACACTCCCAGTTATACCATTTGAACCTTATTTATTATGAAAAAGGAAGAAAACATTGCTATTAATAATGTGGGAAAGGTAAAACCAACTTTGCTGACAGAACACATAAGTATCCTTTTGGGTGTATGAAGTAGAATGCAGTATTAGATAGTTACATAGCCAAGAAACAAGTTTGTATATAAGTACAGAACCTAAACAAAATACATAGAAAATAAACCCTGCAAATTACTTCCCCCCCACAAGTAATAGCAATGTTAATTTTACCTTATTGTGTAATTCTCATATATAAAGTCTATTTCATTTCTCTAGTCTTCACATCTCACATTTTGTTTTTGTCATGTCTACATTTGAAATGTTTTTATCAGTTTTCCCACTATGTCATTAACCCTCTTGCTAACACAGTAGCTCTAACCATCATTGTCAACAAAATTAATGCCTCTACTAGTAATGTGTGAAAGATAAATCACCTTTGGTGACAGAACACATGAGACTCATTTTGGATGTATAAAGTAGAACTTGGGTATTGCATAGAAACAGTGAAAAGAAATAACTGCGTGCATAAGTACAGAACCTAAACAAATACATAGAGACAAAATGCATACAGAATAAATCCTAGAAATTGAGCATTCAACACTTAGATGTTCCAGAAAGAAAATGAGCTAAATTAATATGAGAGTTATTGATGTTGATCAAGAGGTGATGGTTTCCATTCCAAGAACATGTTAAAATGTCACTTCCTGGCTCCCTTGATTTGGGTGATGGATAAAACCATTTTGAGCAAGTGTTTTATTAACATAGTGAAAGAAGTTACTGCCACACATGTAATTTCTGGTGAGGGCCACTGGGTGACTTCTTTTTGTCCTCTAGGAATGCCAATTGGCCGAATTTATGACATGCTCTTTCAGTCTGTCCTGAGTGATGACCAATCTATCTTCTCTAGATGAGAGAGAGCGAGAGGGGAAGGAGAAAGGGAGGGAGAGAGAGAGGCGCAAGGTGAGGGCACCTGGGCCTGTAGTCAGGACTGTGTAAGTGTTGGATGTTACTATTACTGAGCAACCTCATGTAAAATATAACATCTACACGGAATGAAAAGATAAGCCTAAAAAAGGGGGGAAGAGTGAGCAAAGTGGAGAGTGAGTACAGTGAACTCTTATTTCCCCGACAAACTTAGACAGCATGTTCCTTGTTTTGAGGAGTGGATTCTCCCCCATTCCCATTGACGCTCCCATTCAGGAGGAGCTGCGCGCCATCCTCTGGAACCCTCTACTTGCTTCTGCAAAGAGTAGCCACGTGATTTCCCTAAGCTAATGATGGAGCTGCTTCTTTCAACAACTGAGCTGTGTCCAGTCTGGAGTAGGCATGTGATACATGGCAAACCTTTAAGTTCCTGCCTGGCAATTTTCTTTGTAAAAAGCAGGTAAAAAGGCAGGGACAAGGGGAAAAAAATGAGAACCAAGACATGTCATGTAGAGGCACAAATTCCCAACAATTCATGTAACTGTACTGTATCCCTAAAATGTACCAATAAACTCAATTAAAACTGAAAAAAAAAAGAGGATAGTGTATGAACTCCATAATTTCAATGTATTTAAGCCCATATGTTAAGTCTTTAAAGGCATAAGCATAATCATTCAATATGGTCCAGAAATTGGTAAGAGACAGAACAGAATATTGGGTGCTGAGGACGTCATATCCCCCAATTCCACATAATAATGTTCCAAAGACTGAGAAGCTCTGGCTGCTTTGAGCTAAACCTACTCTGCTCAGTTAGTTTGTAAAGACCAGGGTCTGTGTCTTTCACAAAGGAAAGTGTAGTTGCAAGTCCTTTTGGACATAATCCCTCTGAACCTCAAAATATAAGTTCTGTAAGATTCCTATTGTCCTCTCACCCTCCCAGAGGGAACCAGTTTAGCGTTTGCAGAGGTTCTTGCAGTTTGAGGTATTAACACTAGAGGTCTCTCCCTACTCGTGAGCCTTTGTCCTTGCAGATGAGGTTTAACTCTCACACTCTACCCTGCTGCGCTCGTAGTTACTCTGATCTGCTAGATCTATACCAAATGGTAATCATCCTAAAGTTGGAAAATGTCCAAACATACAATCCTGAAGCCTCAAATCCTTGATCTTTTCCCAAGAATCATGACATCCTCCATGATTACACACAGAAAAAGGATACTTTGCAATAAGCACAAACAAATAAAAAAACACCAGCAACAACTCTATTCATATTGTGCTCCCATGCGTGCTCATACAAAGAAACAAAAGACTTAGTAGGCTACTCAGACCCAGCAGAGACAAAGACCCCTTCCAAATGGAGATCACATATGGAAGGTAAGAGCATGCTAATGACAACCTTTGCTAGTTATACCATAAACTATGAAGTTAATAACACCTCCTTGAGGTAAGTGTTGTGAACCAACCTCAGAGCTGTATCCTCTACCTAGGGTTCACCCACATCACGGCATTATGTGTTTTACGTTCTTGTGTAGTAAAACAGAACTCCAAGGAAAATAAAAGGAAAAAGAGATGTTTTACCTAATACCTACACTAGAACATTAAAGATACTCATTTGGTGCAAGCCTGTTTTGCAGTGGACTTCATTTGGCACTATAAAAAAAGCACTTTAATCAATCTGAAAGAAATACTATGGTATGTTTTATAGAAAGAAAAACAAGTAAAGAACCCCTAAGATACAGAAGAAAACAGGCACTGTGCAGAATTAGAACATTAATTACTTTCTTATTGATATCCCTTAGACTTCATCCATCCTATTGGATATTTTTCTTTAGAGTTGAAATCAGATAAGGGGCCAGGGCAGGACACAGAGAAGAGGCATTGATGGGATGGCTGAAGAGCAGCCTGGAATTTTACATGGCAGCCAGCAATCTCAAGCAGGTTGAGAAAGCTAAATGTTTGCATTTTTATTTTATGCTTACAGATTGCCCAACAGATTAAAAGTGAACTTTGATTAATTAGAAAATATTTAAATTAAACTTCTGTTTAGCCTTCTCTTGTGACACTTCTAGAAGTAATACCATTTTTTCCCAGCAAGTGAATTGAAGTTTGTTGAGCATAGCTCCCCAGTGTGAAAAGCTATACTTGTGAAACTTAACTACAGCAAAGAACCTCCAGGAAGCATTACTAAAACTGTCGCTACAATAAAAAGCAAAACACCACTGTACATTATTTACCTTACTAAGGTTTCATTACAGGCTATTATTTAAATATTGAGACTTGTACATTCAAATTAGTCTCAAATTATCACTTTAAATTCATTCAGTTTTTCAGGACCACATAGATTGCACTGAGTAAAATAAGCTTGCATTAACTAAAAGGAATAGCTAGAAATGTTATTAATTAATGTCATCTAATTATATAGATTGAATAAATGTTATGTTATCAACCTAAATGTGCTCAAATTCATGATTTTAAAATGTTGCTGGTGGATTTGTTATTATCAACAAAATATCTTTATTATTTTTGGAAATGATCTATAGCTGCGATGGGATGAACACATTTTAGAAATGGTAATGAAATTCCTGACCAGATAACTTAGAAAGTGCTAGGAAAGCAGGAATTTCTTTCCTAGAAACTTGAAAACATTGATATCTAGCCCATCATCAAATAAACATCCGGAGTAGCTCTTTTAGCTGTACTACCTGAACACTGAAAACATACTTCTGTACAACACTCAGTCTAAACCAGGCTGCAGGTACTGACTATAAGCATGGGAGGGACACATACATGTACATGCAGGTTTCTCTCTATTACTGTAGACTCCACCACAATGGCTCATTATGCTTCTCAAGTGCGGTCATTATGCAATTAACCCATCTGCTTCTTCACAACAGTATTACTTGGGAGGAACTCATTGCCATCTCCTTGGTCTAGGAGCCAGCCAGACAATGCACCTCTTGGATGCCCATCTTCATTGTCATTCTGCCCGAGCTCTGCCTGTTCCCCTGCCTCTCCAAAGGTCAACCAGAGGTCTTCACTGCTCCACTAATGGGTGTACAAGCAGCCTGCACGCGGCGCCTGCTGTGACAGAGGTGCTCCATCCCTTTATACCAATCTCCCCCCAGCTCTCTCCCTTCCTCCCTCCTTTCCTTTCTCCTATCCTCGCTCTTTCTCTGCCTTGCAAATGACTCTGAGGAGCTATACTGGTGGATGATTTATATTAAGAAGAAAATGCACTCAGTTTTTTTTTTTGAACTGGGCTCCCTGAGAGCACTCAGGGCTGCCTCGTACTGCTCAACGCCTACCTGCTCAACTGCAGGGAAACAAGCTTCTGAAGGCTTTAATGGGATTTCGCCTGAGGCTGTTTTATTAAGATGTCGGCTTTTTCTGCTGGCTCTGCAGCTGACACCATTCACTGTCAGCTGTCCCCTCCCCTCCCCATCCCACTGTCACCCCTCCCCAACGGTGCTCGAAATTATTCGCTTCATTTAGTGCTCATGGCTCAGTGTGGGCAAATTGGGAGAAGGAGCCCTACTGGGCCAGATGAACCATGAGGAGAGGTGAAAAGCCACTGTGCTACTTAACTGGAAGTTGAAGGAGAGGGAGAGGCCAAAAAAGAAGAGTAAATTAATGCCACTGGGGCATACTTGCCTTCTATTAGAAAGAGTTCTGTTCAGTATTAGCATACCCATTTTTACACTATTCATTTACATGAAAACTTCATATAAGAAAGGCTATACACACAAGGCCTCATCTGCAATATATAACATGAATTGTTATACACATTTCAGGGCAGATCGTAGGTTATTCCACTCAATTAAAAAATACATGTGAAATGTATGTTCCTTCCGTGCATGAAAAATGAATCCAGGTAGAGGTGGTATGGTGATAAAAATAGTAGGCTTGTACCTTCGTGTATGAATACCTATGGGAGAAGTGTGTATGCTCGGGGATATTTGTGTGAGGGCAAGAGTATTTCAAACAAAACAGTCCCTCTTAATTACCTGTTATTTTTACAGCAAGAATCAATTAACACAGCTCAACAGTCACAGTGGCCAGGCGGTGGTGTCGGTGGTGACACCTAATTAGTAGTGGAAATTTATGTTTATTGTAGAGTGGATCTGTGAAGTGTTAGGATGTTTTGGGAGTCATGCTGACACTTAATAGAGAGAACTTGCCATGTTCCCATTTTATGGATTGGACGCCTAATAGCAGAACAGAATGAGGAAAATGACGAAAACTGATATAGCGCTTCAGAATCATATGCTGACACCACTGCATTGTGTCTCTGTTATTGATGTGCCCAAAGACTGTATAAAAGGAATGGTCTTGATTAGAAGTCATTCAGTCCCCTGACAAATATTTACAATGTCTTCTAATTTGCATCGTCTCTTTTCTAAGTCACAGAGATGCTCTTTGCATCTGTCTCTGTGCTCAAGAACAGAAAACAAAATGGCCCTTATGCCTGCTCTCATGAAGCTTCCAATTTAGTGGAGGGGACAGAAATTGTTAGAAAGACATGGCACATTTTGATAAAAGCCAGTATTGGAGAATTTGTGGAAGTTTGGAGAGCCCAATGAAATTGGCTGAGGGAATGGCAGTAGCTCTGAAATCCGAAGGACCAACGTGAGTGTGTATTGTGTTAGGAGGGTGGTGTTAGCATATACAGCACAGGGGTAAAGAAGCAGGATGGTAATTAAAGAACTAATAAAACATAAATGTCAAATAGGCAGATACTGCACTGTGTTTCTGGAGAGGTAGACATCAGCTCCCATAGTCTAGAAAGCTGTCAAAGCTTTTACTGTCAAAAGTTTTGCCTTCTACCCAGAAAGCACTAAAGGTTCTTATGCCATTGAAAGGATTGTTTTAAAACCCGTTTAAAAGGTGTGGATGTTGAATAATCCTAAATTTCATAAGAATCCACTTTCACTGCAATGTGGAAAATAAATCGGAAGAGTTCAAGGGTGAAAGCACAAAACTACCTAAGGAACTCCCAGAGATCCAAAAAGAGGCAATGGCATTGAGATAACAAGGAAGTTCAGAAGAAGTGGACCATGCTGATATAAGTGGTGAGTAAGCTGGCAGGTGAGGGAGGGAGATTCCGGTACTGAGGATATTTGTAGGTTTTTATGCTTGCAAAAATGAATGGATGATGGCCCTATTTACCAAGATGGAGGAAGCTATGACTCCTGGGTTTGGCTCTGGATGTGCTGTACCACATGTGTTGAATTTTTAAGTTTCAAAGAAGTAAGAGAGTATTAAATGACTACAGATATTGTCTGCTGCTATGAGACGAGGACCAGCTTGAAGCTGTGTGTGAATTACCTTTGCACTGATAGAGGCTGATGGCAAGAGAAATAGGAGATACTGATTAAAGGGAATAGTGGAAGGACTAGAAATATTAGTATTTATTGAGTCACTAAAAGAAATTAAACTTTAAAGGAAACTAAAGATTCACTATAGAAGGGGAAAAACTGTCAGAAATGTATGATATTAGGAAAGAAAGTTTTTAAAACACAAAAAGCACTTATCAGTTCCAGAGAGATGTCAAATGCAAGGAAACATGAACACACATCTATTGAATTGTGCTATATGGAGCCCATTTCTTATTGACCTCCACTAGATCAGAAGGAGGTAGAAAAGGTAAATGGGAGGGGACTCAAAAATGTAGCCTAGACACTAGTGAGTGGTCATGCTCAGCTTGCTAAGGATGGTCGTAATGTATGCATGTTGTCCCCGTATTATCGATGCACCTGTCTCACTCACAAGTGTCACTGTTAGAGCAGATAAGTTTCCTGAACACAGAAATTTAAGTAGTGCGCTTTTGTGACTTCATGCGCTTTTGTGACTTCATCCTCCTCAAATTTTCCTTCTCCCTGAGTTAGATATCATCAGCAGCTGCCCAGATTTATTTGTTCCATATTTTCTACCTCTGTAAGTATATATTGGGCTTTACAAATCTAAAATGTTGATTTGAGATGTTCTCTTCCACTGCTGTCAGCAGTGTGCTAGATAAAATACCATCTTCTATCTGTACTTCAGTAGGTTTTTTTCCTGGTTCAATCCCAATCATTCTGGCAAAAACAAAACAAAAACAAAAACAAAACACAACAGATCACTTCATTTCCCTATAAGCAAACAAATAAAATGAGTTTAAAATGCATAACTATCTTCAAAAGCTTTTCATTGACCTTAAAATAAAAGCCAAACTCCTTATTGATCTTTACTCTACATGTTAATCACACATCATATAATTTCATATGGTAGTTAGACTGCCTTTAAACTGCAGCAAAATTATAATACAAAACATTTAAAGTGTCACACTTCTATCTGCTGCTGATGTTGTACCTGTAGTTTCCTTGCTAAAAACATTTACTTCATTCTTTATTTGGTGGACCCTTATTTCTCTTAGGTCTGAGTTCAAAAGCTAAGCCTTCAAACATGTCTTCCAATACTTCTGCAATCTAAATTAATTTCTTTATTACTCCCCTATACAGCATTAATTTTCTTTCATAGTAATTTCCACAACTCTAATTACAAATTTATTTGTATGTTTACCTATTTTGTATCTATCTTTCCAGTAGATTAAAACTTCAAAGAAGACAAAAACGTAAAGATCAAAATGTATAATTGATACTATGTAATAGGAAAAAAGGTCTAAAAGAGTAGAGGAAGTGGGAGAGGTAGGGCAAAGGGAAAAGGGAAAAGAAAAAATATGAGAAAAGGAAAACCATGGAAACAAAGCCTTCATAAACAGGGAAGGGTGGAGGGGATGAAGGGAAGGCTGGGGAATAGGGAAAAAGTAAGAACAAAGATACAACATGCAAAGGCACAAGATCCCAATGCTGAATGTAACTGTACTGTATACCTAAAATGTACCAATAAACTTAATGAAGAAAAGAAGACAAAAAAGTATCTAAATGTTCAATAGATTGCTGTATAACCTACTCACAGCACAATTCTTACCCCATTTTCTGTGTGCACAAAATTAATTTCTACAAATATGTTTATTTGCTACACACATTATTGTTCCGATAATAATTTCTCTGGTTAATGTATGTCTATTTTACAGTCGAGGCCTATCAACTAAAGACTGTTTTACTACAACTTATTCTTTGATTATCAAATAAACAGCTGAAACTTAAGTATCTCCTACAAATGTGATAGATACATACTAATTATAATGCTATAATTTGAATTTAGACATTAAGGCTCTGTTTGTAATGGAAAAAATGTAATTGGGATTTGGGAGTATATTTTCACTTGATTGGTGTTTGTTTTCTGCATGAAATTTTTCACCATTAACAGGATAACCAAACTGAATACTTTGCTCTCAGGAATGTGTACATGGTCCACTTCTGCCTTTTCAGCCATACATAGTAGCAGCTAGGAGGTTCGATGACCATAGCTGCAGAGAAATCTAACACAACTGGACGCAGCCACACTGCCACTCTAACAGCTCTTGTGATACAGTGGTGGAAGAAGCATTCTTCTCTGGCCTGAGAAAAGTTATCTTTCAGGAAAATGTTTATTATAGCCCTCATCAGCACTGCATAGGAAACCCCACTCTCGATTTCCAACTTTCATTCCCTTTTAGCTTGGAACCTTATCTTTGTCTTCCAAGTCAGGGAGGTGAATGTTCAAATATATTTCAATAAACTGATCCAACTTTTGAGTTGTGTACCTTGCAAAACAGTATTCATTTTGAAACACAAATTGTTCTTATTCTGTCTCTGAACTGAAAGTGTTCATTGGTAATCTGTCTAAGGTACTGGAAATTCAGAATAACCATAGAATAATGTAAAAAAATCAGACAGAGAAAATGATATGAGAACATTCATGAACAAATTGGTAAATAAATTGTTTCTCTAGATATTCACAGATGAAAGCATACACACACACACACACACACACACACACACACACACACACTACCACCACCAAGACCATCAACACCACTAGCCACATGAGGACTGGAGTCTCAAAAGTTTGTTGCATACTTTTCAACCTATATAAAACAGAGATCAGTATCAGTGGTAAAAATTTCTTTAAGCATTTTCTATAACTGGGAAAAATAACTCTAACTATTTAGAAATATAGGTCTGAAATGTAGCACTAATACTTGATTTTTCTATCTGTTTCCTCCTTTTTATCTGTGTCAATTTAGTTTCTCTGAGAGAGTAAGGGATTAAAGATACTAAGGAACTTCTTATGAGAAAAAGTGAAAGGATTTTGGAGGCTAAAAAAATTGTTGGAATTCTATGCAGCTAAGATTGCAAGGTAAGGAATCAAAGGAAAAAGGAAAAAAGAGAGAGAGGAAGAGAGGAAAGAAGGAAGTAACTTTGTTGAAATATCTTAGACAATAATGCAGTCCTAAGGAAACTTTGGAATGACCATCAGGAACATTTGAGCCAAATTCACTCCAGCAAGAGAGGCCCACATCTCCAAGGAGTTGCTTTAGTTTATCAAGCCTGATGCACTGAACTTTATCATATGAGATATGTAATTTCAGTGAAAATGAAGACAGATCGACTTTGGAGTACAACAGCTGTGTGGCTCAGTTAATTTTACCTTCTGCAGGTGGAGGTCTGGGAATCCTATTCCCAGAGCTGCCATACCATGCCTATTAGAGTTACTCAAGTTCAGAAGATCATCTCTCAACTAGAAGAGTGCTATAGTCTTGTCTGTAATATACTGCTTCTAGAGTTAGCCCCCATCTCCACGCACCTCTTTTAAGCATTCTTCCTCAGCCGAATTTTCAGTTTTGTCACTTGTCTTTTAAGATATATTAGAGCATCTTTATTGAAGCGCTTCAGTGACTTCCCATCACTTTATGATAAAACTCAAATTTGTTGTTTTTCATCACAAATACCTTCTGTCCTGGCATTCTTTTTGTGGTCTTGCTTTTTAGTACTTTTTATTGGGTGCAGCCCCTTCAAAATGAATTCCTACCCAAACCGTTTTTCATGATCTATAAGTTTTTGCAGATTCTCTGTTTTTCATAAAAGCATCTCACTTTAGGATCTGGCTAATATGTCAGCTCCTCTAGAAAGTCTTTCCTAAGTTCTGAGGAGGCTTACTCCATCTGTGCTCTTAAAGATTTCAGAGCTTAATCAGATGGCTTTTAGCTTATGATATACTTGCCTATTTGGTTGTCAGACACTTTCACTGGTAACAAACACTGTAACACTTTTTCATTCAGCTCACACTATGTCCTAAAAATAAATATTTATTGAATTAACGAATATAACAATCATATATAATTGATATAATATATAAGAGGCAGTGATGAACTCTTGATGATGAAGATAAATATTAAGAGTTTGGGTTCGTATGGGAAGCAGAGAAATGGTACAGATTGTTATTACTAGATACTACAATGCATCTGCAAAAGATAATGATGCAGTCTCAAGGAAACTTTGGAATGACCATAGGGAATATTTGAGCCAAATTCACTCCTCTTATATATCTCCTCTTAGTTTTTACACAAATAAAACACCACTATTTTTTATATGGGAAATCAAACTCATAAAACACCACTATTATAACATTTTCACTGTCAGATTTTTAGTTTCTGAATTTGGTGAAAACATGTTCACTTATATGTGATATGGAGGAAGATCTTCTACAGTTTAAAATATGCAGATAAAGATGAGATATAGCTCAGAATTTGATCATGAGTTTATTATGCATGGAACTCTGAGTTTGAGCACCATACCACAGAAAAAAGTACATGTAGATGAAAATATAGTATCATATTTTAAATCCCTATATTTTGCAGATTGAAAGAGGGTTGGGTGTATCTCAATTGCCATGGTTTTATATTTTGCATAAAGGAAAAATATTTTTGCAAAGATGGCCATTCTTAGAGATACAGAGATACCATAATTCCATCTAGAATTTGTGAATGATTATTCCCAAGCCAGATGATCATTGCTATGGCACTACTTAGGGCTTCCTACAATTTTTATCTTTTCTCATCAAGTAAACTTTCTACTGTATAAAACAAAAATGTGGAAATTTTGCCAATTGCATCAGTGCTAAATTTGGCTAAAACTAGAGTACAAATTTAGAGAATAGACAGCTTATAATTCATGGCCATCATCTTTCTTCATGATTTCCTAATAATAATAAAGCAACAACAACAACAACAATAGCTTTTTATTAGACATGCCAAAATTAAATTCTCAGTTATTTGACATTTGGGCAGTAATTTTTCTGTTGGATAATCTTTTCTTATTTAGTATGATGATCAATGCTCTCATAGTAAAGACCAAATGACTATAAAAAATTATAGAAGATTACAAAGTAAAATAAAATTAAACAATTTTTAGTTATAAGGCACTTTTCTCCTTCACAAGGGATACAATCCAGTTTTAAATGAAAGTATAGATATTTTGGTGGCTGATAGACTCAATGTGACTCTTAGTTTCACTTGCTAATAGTTTTATAAACCTGATAATTTATTTAAATGCTCTCTTAGTTGCCACCTGTCTTAATCAGGTTTTTCTGGAAACAGAGATTGAGGCAATGTTTATAAAAACATGACTGGCTAGTTCAGTCCAAGGGGAGCCAGAGTGAAAAGAAACTAAAAAGGAGTCAGGAAAGAACAAGAGCAAGACAGTATAATATGAATTTGGCTCTGACTTCAGAAGAAAGATATCATTAAAATTTATTTGGTGGCATGGGGTATCTTCCAACAGGCTCATAAAATATTGTACATTGGAATAATCCACCAGTAAAATAAAAAGGGATTTATCTGGTTGACCTTCCCCATTTCCTTACTTTTATCATTTCAAATTCACTGAATTGGGCCACAGTCCCTCCACGGATGAGTTATTTTGCTGCACAGCACCTTGCTTCATAGGAGATTCTAAGAGGAAACTGTCTCCTGTCCATCTTCAGAGGACCTAACCATGGCCCAGCTAGTGATGAATACAGCTCTGGCAAACATGGATAAAAATGGAGAAAATAATACAGGCTACTCTAAATGATGCTGTGACAGTAGTGGCTGCAGGCATTTTATCCATTCAGTCTTCCATTTTAATAATAATTTATTATATTGAATGTCAGGACTATCCTACTCTCAGGGATGAAACGATAAACACCAGGATCTTGTCCACTCAGTTGATAAGTACATATGAGTGTTTTCTCTCTCTCATTGAGTTTACTGGTACATTTTAGGGATACAGTACAGTTGCATTCATCATTGGGATCTTGTACCTTTACATGACAGATCTTGGTTCTCATTTTTTCCCCTCATCCCTGCTCTCCCTTCATCTTCTCCTCCCCATTTACAAACACTTTATTTCCCTTTTTTTTCGTTTTCTCCTATTTTTTCTTTCCCTTATTCCCTTTCTCCTACACTTCCCACTTTCCCTACACCTTTAGCCCTTTTCTTCGTATTTCAAATGGTCAATTATATCATTAGGATCTTATGTACTATTACAGTTTTTCACACCAGCGAAACTAATCGGTATTTACACATGTGTGACTTATTTATTTCACTTATTTTGTGTGCATTTGCTCTTGTACATTCATTCAAATACTTAAGATACATAGAGGAAGATTTTGGAGTAAATGTGAGCGTGAGTTGTTTTATTTATAGGGTGAAATGTTGTTTCATTTGAAAGTAAAAACTACCCCGGAATCAATTTTGATTTGAGAAGTGAGAGAAAAGAACATTCAGCCCATCGGGCACAAATCAAACTATGTGAACCAATTAAACCATCATCATCATGCTAGGTAAAATTCTGCAACTGTGATGGTGTTTCACTGTTTCTTCTACTTATCTACTTTATCACTTTATCTCATCTCTTTACCAATTATGAATAGAAAACAAAATATAAAAACAAAGAAGAACAACAAGAAGAGAAGGAGGAGAAGGAGGGGGATGGAGGAAGAAAGGGGGAGGAAGAGATGAGGAGGAGGAAATGGGAAAGACGTCCGTGCACAAATGAGGACAAGTGTAGTTGAATAACTTCTTCATTGTAAAAAAAAATCTTGTTTTTGTATTTAAAATCATGCTGTGCAATAACAAGAGAAGTCATAATTGTGTGATTTTTCAAGAGTATTTCACAAATTTGTGTAGTAAATGTAGATTCTTATAGAATTATCTATTTTATGCTCAAATTCTGAAAGAATATATTTGTACCTTAACCTTCTCTGCCATGGAATCCGTGTTCCCCCAAACACTATTGAAATGTCATATATTTGAAGTTGGGGTGCAATCATATGGCAGAGGCTGACACATTGGGAAAGTTTTCCCTAGATGAGGTGAAAGTGGTATAAACTAATACGACTGAAAAAATTGAAAGGGGAGAACATGAATACATTTAGATACATAAGTTCTAGTATATTTCTCTTTTGTTGAGGAAAGACTGTATATTAACAAGGTCACCTCCCCTGGGTGTCTAGCACTCCTTGGTTAAAGGCTGACTGTTCATGGAGACACAGTCATCTCTAGCCACTTAGGCACTGTGACATGCCCTGTAACAGTTCTGCCTGAGGCTTCGAGAGGAAAACTCCTTATAATAGTAACTCATTAAAGTGCTCTTCTGTTAACTGAAAGGGTAAATATCCTTTATCCTCCTTTGCCCCTGACACTCTGAGAGAGTATGGGTCTAGGAATAATTGGGCCCTCTGAAAATTATTAGTTCAATTCTATTGTGTATGTATTTGAAATTATTTCAAGAAAAGGAAAACAAATTAGTCCGCATAGAGGTTTATGTGAGATTTAAAATATCTGTAGCTACATCTTGTTCTTACTGAATAACCTCATGAATTTGCATAAGTCAATAAAGTTCAGCAATATTACTATGAGCTTTGACAACTCAAGCCTGTATCATTACTGAAATAGTTCTAAGGTAGGACTATGTTTTAAAACCGTATCTCTGTTATTAGACACAGTTGGTATACAGGAATCCAAATGGGAATGTCTCTCCTGAAATACATCTTCCATGAACAGTGTGGCAGAAAGTAGTAGGAAGAGGCTGAGGAAGAAGACAAGGTAACTCTGGAGACCACAATATCTTAGGTAATTGTGCAAAGTAAAATACGAACACTCATAAGGACTCATGCTTAAAAATTATCAAAGAACATCTGAATGTTTTTAAACATTAGAGATGTATGGAGTTTAGACCAAGCACTCTGTGAGCATAATGCCTTACTCAGCTTCAGCAAGCATCGTTAACACACACACTGCAAACTGGTGTGTGCACAAGTGGTGGCTACACCGTGGGGCCTCTGGCAATGGCTGGAGACAGTTTTGAGTGTCATGAGAAGGGGACTGAGAATATCACTCACCTCTACTGAGGAAAGAGTAGTCATGCTACTAAGTACCCCCATAAACACCATAAATATATATATACACATATATTAAATATATATATATATAGTTGAATAACTTCTTAATTTTCAAAAATAATATTTTATATTTTAAACTGTTACTGTGCTACAATGAGAAAAGACAAAATTGTGAAAGTTTTTCACAAATATTTTAACTAATTTGTGCAGAAAATGTAGAATTATCTGTTTGGTGCTCAAATTCTGAAAGAATATATTTTTATATTTTTATTGTAATCTCCTCTGCCATAAAGTGTGTGTTTTGTGGCATCCCCAAAGTGAGAATTATCCAGTTCCAAGTACTAGATGTCCTCTTACTGAAGAAATACTATGCTAGAATTAGGTAATACTAATTTGATAATACAAATCATATATTATTTTCTTCTTTCAAAGAGCAGCAATTCTAGGTAGAAACACAGAAACAAAGCAGTCATAAAGGATGATACAAGGTGATTGTGAATAGGTGGAATCATGCATAGAATGTCATGTTAGAGATATAAACAATGCATGATGAAGTTTCAGAGGATAGGGTTAGGAGAGAGGCAAGAGAAGACTGAAAGTGTTCATTATAATATGACAATCTTAATTGATAACTCTACTGGATTGAGAGATGCCTACATTAGTAAAAGACACTTTGGGATGTATTTTCCAGATGCCATGAGCTGATAAGCTTTCTTCCAGCAGGACTTTCTGCCCTGATGTTTCTACTCCGGAAATAGCTGTCCATGTAGTGAACCCTCTGAAATCATGGTCCAAAACCAACCTTTTCTCCTTTACACAATACGTGTTGAGTATTGTCCTAATGCAGTGATGTCAAAATTGTTAGAGACCAAGTGTCAAACTATAATCCAGAACCCACTTACTTGTCACAAAGTGCTAACAGTGTATTTAAACCTGAATAATAAAGTTTTAGTCTAGAAAAAACAACTGATACATTAATATATTTCATCTTAAAAGAAAAACACAATAACACACGTTTCAGTTTCATAGCTCACCACCTAGTTTCAAAAAGCTGATTATTGTACTGGGTTATGGTCTTAATGAATATGTAACACTTAGATAAGTGAAGAACAGGGTTTAAATCCAAAAGGGCAAAGATCAGTAGCGTCTTTAGAGATGACTGAGGAGCAAGTCCACTCATTGACTAGATGGAGCAAGTCCACCTTTTGAATAAATTCAACAGATGAGATCAGATACAAAAATGAGACAAAACACAGAGGACATTTAGTTTTATGCTAATAAAGACATATTTCAGTCTATAAAATGATGGAAATTAATCACAGTTTTTAAGCAATAATATTCTTATCCAACTGCATGCTTCAAACTTATTTGTCTATTCCAGTACTTATGCTGGTTCCCTGAATTTGCTGTAGTTTTACCTTCTCTCTATCAAAGGCTTTTTAAAAACTTTTTCACAATTTATTTGTTTGTACTTCTGGAGATTGAACCCTGGGATTTCATGTTGACAACATTAACAGCCACTCCACTCTCCTTGCCCTTTTTAGATAGGTTCTTCCTACATAGCTAAATCTGTTAGGCTGTTATCAAACGTTTTTACCCATTAAGTTTATTGAAACAGTTTAGGTATACAATACAGTTACATTCATCATTGGGATCTTGTACCTTTACATGATGTATCTTGGTTCTTATTTTTTCATAATTCCCTGGCCCTTCCTTCAACTCCTCCACCTTTCCCTATTTACAAAAACTTTGTTTGCATGTTTTTCTTCGCAGATTTTTTCTTCTCCCTTCTTGCCTTGCCCCTACTCCTCCCACTTCAGCTACTCATTCAGACCTTTTCTTCCTCTTATTACACAATATCAACTACACATTTTGATCCTGAATTACACTTTTAGTTTTTCACAACAGAAAAACTAGTTGGTATTTACACATGTACGTCTTATTAATTTCACTTAAGAGTATGGCCTCAGTGTGCATCCACTTAGCTATAAATGTCTCTAGTTTCTCATTCTTTATTGCTGAGTAGTATTCCATGTTATTAAACAAAACAAAACAAAACAAAAACATCTTTTTTGTCCAGTCTCCAGTTCATGGGCAACTGGGCTGTTTCCAAGTTTTATCTATTACAAACTGTGCCACTATAAACATGGGTGAGCCTATATCATTGTGTTATAATTCTTTAATTCTTTTGGAAAGATACCCAGCAGAGGGATGGGTGGGTGAAATGGGATTTATACTCCTATTTGGTTTAGGTGTCTCCATATTAATTTCCACAGTGGTTGCACCAGTCTGCACTCTCACCAACAATGAAGGCTTCCTTTCTCCTCACAGCCCTACCAGCATTTCTTATTGGTTGATTTCTTTTTTCTTTCCTCATTAAGTTTATTAGTGCTCTTTAGGCATACGGTACAGTTATATCCATCACTGGGATCTTGTACCTTTACATGATGTGTCCTGGTTCTTATTTTACCCCCAAACCCCTGCCCTCCTTTTGCCCCCTCCATCCTTCCCTATTAACAAAAACTTTGCTTCCATTTTTTCCTTTTCCTATATTTTTTTCTTTTCCATTTGCCTTCCCTTTGTACTTCTCCTACTCATTTAGCCCTTTTCTTACTATATCACATCATCAGTTATATAATTTGAACATGATTTATACTTTTAGGTTTTCATACCAGAGAAACTATTCGGTATTTATACATGTGTGTCCCATTTATTTCACACATGACTATGGCCTCAATATGCATCCATTTACCTACAAATGACTAGTTTCTCATTCTTTATGGCTGAGTTTGTGATAGCAGCCATTATGTTGGGGGTAAGGTGGAATCTCAGTGTCGTTTTCATCTTCATCTCTCAAATTATCAGAGATGTTGAATGTTTTTCTCATATGTTTATTTGCTGATTTCACATCATTGTTTGAGAAATGTCTATTTCAGATGCCCATTTTTTAAATTTTTTGTCAAGTTTATTGGTACAATCTAGGTATACAGTACAGTTACATTCATCACTGGGATCTTGTACCTTTGCATAATAAGTCTTAATTCTCGTTTTTCCCCTTGTCCCTGCCCTCCCTTCACCCCCTCCTCCCCTCCCCATTTACAAACACTTTATTTCCATTTTTTCAGTTTCTCATATTTTTTTCCTCTCCCTTATTACCTTTTCCCCACCCTTCCCACTTTCCCTACACCTTTAGCCCTTTACTTCCTATTTCACATGATTAATTATCTCATTAGGATCCTGTGTACTATTATAGTTTTCCACACCAGATAAACTATTCGGTATTTCAGTTAAAGAAATCTCTGTATGAACATTAAAAATAGGGAATCTTAAGATATAACTAAAAAGGCAAGTAAAAGAGAAAAGGCAATGATGTAAGATTAAAATAATCCTTAATTCTGAAGATGAAAATGGTCCCTTAACATATTTAAATTGCTTCTTGCACTTGTAGTCTTATCTTATTCTTTTTTTTATTATATAGAGAATACTTTTTAGTTTCTGTAATCAAACCCATGTAGATATGACCTTACATATTTAGTACAATGTGTTACCCCTGTGCAAATGGAAAAGTAAAAATAAAAAAAAATTAACATTTCTAGACCTGTTATGGCTGTCCATTTCTGTACAATGCCAACTCAACACAGTAAATTGGGCTAACTTTTTCCAGTTTACAGC